CCCGAGCTACAAATCTACTTCAGAATATTAGAAACTAAAGAACTGATTATCAACTTCAGAAAGAAAGGAGGAGAACGCACCCCGCTCCAAATCATAGGAACTGAGGTTGATAGAGTGAAGAGCATCAAGTGCCTCCTGTGCGCACCCTGTTAAAGGCCTTCTGGAAATCCAAATAGATCACATCCACTGGATCTCCTTTATCTAACTTGCTCGTTACCTCCTCAAAGATTTCTAACAGATTTGTCAGGCGTGACCTCCCTGTGACGAAGCCATGTTGGCTCTTCCGTATTTTACCATGCACTTCCATGTACTCAACAATCTCATCCTTAATGATGCACTCTAAAATCTGGCAATAATTGAAAGCATGAAAGGATAACTGGAAAGCTTTTCTCAGTGTGAATTTACCACCTCTGTTTTAAGCGTGACCTGTGGTTGTTCTGGTTTCTGAGCTGAAACGTCCTTCATTTCAATGACACTGTGACATTTGCTGTCGATGAAATGGAAAATGTACAAACATCCATGGCTTGGCTCTGTCTGTTGTTCTCCTCTGCACAGCAGACAAGCTGATGGGGTTCCTCCTGCAGGTGTTCCAATGGGGATCAAAGATACGTGTCACAACGCTGAGGAACACATTCCCTCCACATCCTGTGAGTTGTGTGCAACGCTGCTGTTTTTATATCGGTACAGTTTTAAAATATTTTTGCACTGAGAGTGACTGGTGAGGACAATGTTCACTGCATTGAAGCAGATGAGAATTCAGGTCCCACATTCACAAAAAGGGAGAGAGAAGCCAATTGGAGATAACCTTGTGTCCTGGGTCGCTAATTGGTTGGCAGAAAGGAGAAAGGCAAATGCTATAAAGTAATTGGGGTCTGATTGGCCGGTAGCCAGGTCCAGCTCTCGAAGCAAGATAAAGATTTCTCTGAGGCTGCTTGTCTTTGCCTAGTGTTCACATAAAGATTTTACAGGAGATTGCATCATAACTTGACAGGACAATGACAGGAGGGTTGTGGTGGAAGGGTGTTTTTCAGGCTGGAAGTCTGTGATTAGTGGTGGTCCGCAGGGATCTGTACTAGAACCTCTGCTGTTTGTGATACATAACAATGACTTAGATGAAAATGTAGATGGGTGGGTTAGTAAGTTTGCAGATGATACAAAGATCGACGGAGTTGTGGATAGTGTAGAAAGTTGTCAAAGGATACAGTGGGATATAGATCAGTTACAGATATGGGCGGAGAAATGGCAGATAGAGTTTAATCTAGCTAAGTGTGATATACTGCACTTTGGAAGATCAGATCTTAAGGAAAAGTATACAGTTAATGGAAAGACTCTGAACAGCATCGATGTACAGAAAGATCTTAGAGTTCAAGTCCATAGCTCCTAGAAAGTGGCCAGGCAAGTGGATAGGGTGGTAAAGAAGGCATGTGGCAAGCTTGCTGCTATTGGTCAGGGAATTGAGTACAAAAGTCAGGATGTCATTTTGCAGCTTTATAAGATTTTGGTTAGGCCACACTTAGAATATTGTGTTCAATTCTGGTTGCCATATTACAGGAAGGATATGGAGGTTTTGGAGAGGGTACAAAGGAGGTTTACCAGGATGCCGCCTGGATTAGAGGGTATGAGCTATAAGGAGAAAAACTCATGTTGTTTTCTCTGGAGCGACGGAGGCTGAGGGAAGACTTGGTAGACATTTACAATGCTCAGAATTTTTTTCCCAGAGTTGCAATGTCTAATACTAGTGGGTATGTATTTAAGGTGAGAGGGGGCAAGTTAAAATGAGATGTAAGGGGCAGGTTGTTTTACACAGAGAGTGGTAGGAGTCTGGAACGTACTGCCAGGGATGGTAGTGGAGGCAGACACAATAGGAGTATTTAAGGGCCTTTTAGATAACCACATGAATATGCAAGGAATGGTAGGATATGGACCAATGGCAGGCAGAAGGGATTAGTTTCATTTGGCGTCACGTTTGGCACAACATGGTAGGCCAAAGGGCCTGTTCCTGTGCAGTATAGTTCTATTTTCTACATTCTAATATAAGATGGGTGTATTAGTTTCCAGTCCCTTGCTCATGCTTTACATATAGTTGCAGTGTGCTCGATTAGCTATCTGGCAAAGTGTATTGCTTTGGGGAAAAAAACAGGCTCAGCTTCACATAAATAGTGCATTGTTAGGAGGCTGGGAGAAAGTTGTGAATGGGAAGACAACAGTTGGTTTGACACCCCATCCACCACCTTAAACCTCCACTCCATCCATCATGGGTGCAGTGCGCACTGTTTACAGTTTACATTCTGCAAATCCTTGACCTCTGCCACCTCGAAACACAACAGGAACATGTCCGCGCATCCATACCTCTGACCTGGAACTACACCATTGATCCCTCACTGTCGCTGGGTCCAAATCCTAGAACTCACCCCACCATCAGCTTTGTGTGTGTCTGCACTTACCAAGGGCTGCAGTGGTTCAAAGTGGCAGTTCACCACCACAACCTTTTCCAGGCAATTGGGAGTGGACCATATATCCTGGCCCTCCCTGTACCACAGGATGTAGTGGGACTACGGAACTGATCCATACAGCAGTCAAAATAAAGTCGGTCTTATAACTGGGAACTGTACCTGGCTGTAAGAGACGAGGATGAGGCCACACACGTGAAAATCTTAATCATAGCCATTTTACAAATGTCAGCTGCAGAACCTACACAATTTAGAACGACATGAAGCAAAACTTTGTAAGTACAGACCAGTATTATCACATCGTAGGTCTGTGTTAATATTTCAGTCTAATCTGTTCTGATCTGAGTCCTGTCACTATTTTAGAATACAGAGTTGAATATTATTGCTGTTTGTGTTAATAAGAAATGTCAAATGGGATTGGACAAGGTCCTCTCCCAGGTATTTAATGCAGCTGTTGACCTATTTCATTTGAATAGGCTGCAACCTCCACTGAGGCAATGCTGGAAGGAATGAACATGAAAGTGTGAAGCAGCTGTCACTAATAAAGACTTCCCAGATTATATCCTGTGCAATTTGATACTATGCACAGTTTATGAAAGATTGTCAACTCTGGTTAGATGTCAGATTCATCTTGTAATGCTTGGCCAACACCTCTTCCCCCATTCCCTCACTATTGGTCACCAACCTCCCTCACTCTCTCACTATTGGTCACCAACATCTCCACTCTGTCATTATTGGTCACCAAAAATACTCACCCTTTCGCTATTGGTCACCAACCTCCCCCACCCTCTTATTATTGGTCACCAACCTCCCCTACCCTCTCATTATTAGTTACCAACCTCCTTCACTCTTTTTTCTCTTTATTCATTAACATGATGAGGGGTCTCGGGCTAGGCAGCATTTATTGCCCATTCCTAAATGCACATAGGGCATTTAAGAGTCAACCACATTGCTGTGGGTCTGGAGTCACATGTAGGCCAGACCAGGTAAGGATGGCAGTCTTCTTCCCTAAAGGGCATTAGTGAACCAGATGGGTTTTTCCTGACAATCAACAATTAATTCATGGTCATTGTTAGATTCTTAATTCCAGATATTGGGAGATGGTGGAATTTGAATTCAATAAAAAAAATCTGGAATTAACAGTCTAATGATGACCATGAATCTGTTGTCAATTGTCAGGAAAAACCCATCTGGTTCACTAATGTCCTTTAGGGAAGGAAACTGCCATCCTTACCTGGCCTGGCCTACATGTGACTCCAGACCCACAGCAATGTGGTTGACTCTGACCTGCCCTCTGGGTAATTAGGAGTGGGCAATGAATGCTGCCCAGTCAGTGATGCCCTCATCCCATGAATGAATAAAGAAGAATTAAAATCAACCCTCTGCAATGGCAGGATTTGAACCTGGGTCCCCAGAACATTATCTGGATTAACACTCTAGTGATAATGCTACAAGGCCATCACCTCCCCTTCCCTCACTTGCTCACTATTGATCATTAACCTCCCTTACTCTCTTGGTCACCAACCTCCCTCACTATTGGTCAGCAACCTTCCGCATTTTCCTACTATTGGCCACCAATCACCCTCACTCTCTCACTATTGATCACCAACCTCTCCCACTCTCTCACTATTGGTCACCAATCTCCCTCACTCTCTCACTATTGGTCACAAACCTCCACCATTCTCTCACAATTTTCTCTAACCTCCCTCACTCTCACTATTGGTCACCAATGTCTCCACTCCCTTACTGTTGGTCACCAAACCTCCTGCACTTTCTTACCATTGGTCACTAACCTCCTTTCCTCTCTCACTATTGGTCGCCAACCTCCCTCTCTCTCTCACTATTGATCACCAACCTCTCCCACCCTCTCACTTTTGATCACAGAAACATCCATAGTTGGAAAACTACCCTCTCCCAACTACAAAAAACAATGAAAGAACTGCAGAAGCTGTAGATCAGGAATAAAAACAGAAGTTGTTGGAAAAGCTCAGCAGGTCTGGCAGCATCTGTGAAGAAAAAAAAATCAGAGTTAACGTTTTGGGACTGGTGACCCTTCCTCAGAACTGTTCAGCTCAGCTCAGTGTTGCCGAGTTTGGCTGCCACCAGGGCCACTCAGCTCCGGACCTCATTACAGCCTTGGTTCAAATATGGACAAAAGAGCTGAATTCCAGAGGTGAGGTGAGAGTGACAGCCCTTGACATCAAGACCACTTTTGACAGAGTTTAGCATCAAGGCACCCTAGCAAAACTAGAGACAATGAGAATCGGGTGGAAAACTCTCCGCTGGTTGGAGTCACGCCTGGTACATAGGAAGATGGCTGCATTTATTGGAAACAAATCTGCCATCCTCACCTGGCCTGACCTGTATGTGACTCCAGATCCACAGCAATGTGGTTGGCTGTTAAGTGCCCCTGGACAATAAATGCTGGCCTAGCCGGTATGGATGTGACATTCCGTAAACAAATACGTCTCTATAGCAGTCCTGGGAGTTGGGTACATCTATACAACAGGACCGGAGCTCCCAGAACTCTGCTGAATTTCCTGTTCTTACCTTGTACCACAAAGTTTACGGCCTGTCTTTCTGCCTGATTTCGAGAGCTGTAATCATGCGAGTTGATGTGAGGCAATGGTCTCTTGCGTCCCATTAATGAAACAGAGTAGCCTAACGGAATAAAATGACACAAAACGATGAACATTTGTTGACCTGCACCCAGCAGTAGGCATTATGTTCGATCATCCCAAGACAGTTGCCATGAACCACGATTCACCAAGTGAATGGATAATGCCAACCCCCATGGCACACTTGGCCCTTCAGTGCCCTTGAAAATGGCCGAGCGATGGACCCAGTCACGTCAAACCACAAAAGAAACAAAGCACCCGTAGGAATATCTACCCCCTTGGACTGCCATGGTTCATGACGGCAACTGAACACCACCTTCCCCTGGTCCGCAAAGCTAGACTTGTGACTGTCACTCACAACCTGAGAACAAGTCAATATTAAAACATAATCACTATTAATTGTATAAACTGGTGGTTGAGGGGTAAATACTGGGTGAGACATTTGGAAAACTACTTTGGTTTCCTTTGTATAGAGTCTGTCCAGCCTCAAGCTGAGGGATAAGATGGTGCCATAACTGCAATGACACTTGAATATAATCAGGAGACCCAGGTTAATGCTGTTTGGACAGGGGTTCAAATCTTCCCACAGCTGCTGACAGCATTCAAATTCAATCTTGATGCCATTCTAAACTAGTCCTCTCTGACTGCACATGGTCTGTATCCTTCTATTGTCTAACTGTTCATGTGGCTGTCCAAATATCTGCTCTACCATCTCCCCTGGCAGCACATCCCAGGCACCTGCCATCCTCTATGTAAAACAATTTTCCACACACATCTCCTTTAAACCCTGTTGCGAAGTTGGGTAGAGTACTTGTGGATTGGGAGGCAGAAAGTTAGAATTTGTAAAGTGCTATGGGGAAACCATTGCGTGGCCCCTTTAAAAGATGATGTGCTTTTTCTTCGCTTAGAGATTTAAATTGGATGTCTGTGAGCAGCAGCTTGAAAATTTGCAAGTACACAGGGAGCACACGAATCGAAACATTGGTATTAAAAGGCTGTACAATTAGCCGGCCAAACAGCAGATTTTACCAAGACAACAACATTTTGAATTAAGCCAATCAATTTGAACAAGGCACCAAAATCCAATTAAATTTAAATCTGATGGTTTTGACAACATAAGACCAAGCCTATTGTAAGAAATATTGATATGTCATCAAGGGTATAAAAGAAGGGAGCAGTTGGACAAAGCCACAGAGCCTGCTGCAATCCGCCAGAGCTAACAGCCTTCAGCTCTCAAGACAGAATTGCTGGCTCTCACAGCCTTCTCTATGCCTTAGAGAAAGCACCATCTAAATAACAAAGGTACCAACTAAGTAATATTCCTGACAGAAGAATCAATGGTGAAGACATTCCTGACAGAAGAATTGACAAACATTCCGGAAGACGTAACCTCGCTGTAATTTCGGAAGACTAAATTAGTTTTTTTTTATAAGTGGGACTTATATTTATTGGAACAGCATATCATTAGAATCCTGCTTTATTTGGGAATAGTTAGCAGTTAGAAGGGATTTATTCAGTTTGTTAATAGTTCAGTTCATTTGTTCACTGTTAGAGTTAGATAAAAAAAATTGTTACTTGTTGATTTTGAAGTGAATGTCAGGGGTTTATTTTATTTAACCACTAGAAGTTACTGAAAAGCAGATTACAGCACTTTTCACACTCCTTTTACAGATTATAACCACATGGGTTTCTCCCTCCAACAATGGTCATCATTAGATTCTTAATTTCAGCTATTTTTAATTAAATGTAAATTCCACCATCTGCTGTAGTAGGATTTGAACCCAGATCCTCAGAACATTATCTGGGGTCTCTGGATTAACAGTCCAGTGATAATACCACTACGCCATCACCTCCCCCTTAGATATATGCAAATATTTCAAAACATTAACAAAAAGATATCGAAGCCTTTTACATTTTCTTTGAGACATTGGCTAAACAAATGAATTGGCCAGAGACTGTGTGGGTAATGTTAATTCAGACCAAGTTGGTAGACAGGGCTAGTGAGGTGCTTGTAATGCTGTCAGGGGAGGAATCAGAAAATGAAGAAGTAAAACAGGCTATTTTGAGTGCTTACGAATTGGTACCAGAAACACATGGACAACGGTTCAGAAATGTAAGAAAGGAGCCAGGTCAGAGTTATATCGGGTTTGAAAGAATTAAACTGAACAACTTCGACAGATGGATGAAAGCGTTAAAGATAGAAAAGACATATGAGGCTCTTAGAGAGATTATTCTGTTGGAAGAATTTAAAAACTCACTTCCAGAAGTGATAAGAACTCATGCTGAGGAACAGAAAGTTCAAACAGTGAGAAGTGGTGATGCATATATCGAAATCTAGCTTCCAACAGCAATTTCATTCTGTGAAGGATAGAAATTGGAAAAGAGCGAGATCCTTCAATGAAAAGCAGAAAGTAGATCACACTGGGAACAGTTTACCACAGGTGAGAAAAGAAACTGAAGAGGACAGAAAAGAGGTGAAAGGCCTCAGGTGTTTTCACTGCAATAAGGTGGGACACACAAAGTCACAGTGCTGGTGTTTTAAGAGAGGCACTGGTAAAAAGGATGTGGTAAAAGAGAATAAAACAGTGGGATTAGTTCAGGTAGTGAAGGAATCCCAAGAGAAGTTGAGGAGCTGCAGGAGAGTGCACAGCCTGGTCATGGGCTGGATAGTAAGATAGTGCCTGATCTTTTCAAAAACATCATGTATATGGGTAAGAGTTACTCAGGTAGAACAAGGGGAGTAGGTAAAGAACTTAAAATATTGACAGATACAGGAGCTAGTCAGTCTCTAATAGTGAGAGATGAAAATATTTGCACTCCTTCTGAAATATTGCCTGAGAGAGTGGTAATCAGTGGAATAAATGGAGAGCGGAGTAGTGTTCCCCTGTGTAAGATAAGGCTAGAAAGTTCAACTAAGGCTGAGGAAGTAATAGTGGGAGTGATGGAAAAATTGGCTATTCCACGAATACAGTTTATTTTTGGAAATGATATAGCTGGATCACAGGTGGGAATGATGCCCATTGTAGTGGAAAAGCCAAAAGAAAACCAGGAAACTGAGAAACTAAAAGAAAAATATGCAGGAATTTTTGCAGATTGTGGGGGAAAGATCCCACGGCCATAAGTTAAAACAAGAAGGGAAAACAAAAAGAAAGATGAGGGAGTTGTGGTCCAGTTAACTGGCACAGGAGTTGGGGTCCAGTTAGATGACACTCTGTTCGAAGGGATGGTAAAGGAAAAACCTAAGCAGGTAGAGAATGAGGCAGAGGTGTCTAGTTATGTAAGATTAATGGAGTTACAACAAAAAAATGAGATGGTAAAGGATTTATATCATAAAGCCTGCTCGAAAAAGGAATCAGAGTATATTGCAGAATGCTATTACCTTAAGGATAAAATCTTAAGGCAGAAGTGGAGATTTTGGCAGGTTGGTGCAGATGTGAAATGGGTGGAAGTGCACCAGATTGTGTTGCTGGTAGCACACAGACAGGGGGTACTATGATAACACACAAATTACCTGTAGGAGATCATCTAGGAGCGAGGAAGATTCAGGCTAAGATTCAAAAGCATTTCTATTGGCCTGGATTACATAAGGATGTGGTTGAATTTTGCCATATCTGTCATACGTGTCAGATGGTAGGAAAGCCACAAGCAGTAATAAAACCAGTGCCTTTGATGCCAATTCCTGTATTTGAAGAACCTTTTACCTGGTTTATAGTTGATTGTGTAGGTCCCCTCCTTAAAACCAAAAGTGGGAACCAGTATTTGCTAACCATAATGGATGTGTCTACCAGGTTTCCAGGGGCAAATTCCATGATGGAATGTCAAGGCAAAAAAGGTTGTGGAGGAGTTGCTGGTTTTCTTTACCTGTTACGGACTACTCAGGCAGATTCAGTCAGACCCAGGGTCCAATTTTACTGCCAAATTATTTGAGAAGGTCATGGATAGTTTAGGCAACAAACACTTTAAATCAAGTGCATACAATCCTGATTCCCAGGGAGCATTGGAAAGATGGCATCAGACCCTAAAGACAATGCTGAGGGCTTATTGCCAGGATTATTCAAATGATTGGGATAAAGGTATCCCATTTATATTATTTGCCATCAGAGATGCTCCAAAGGAATCGACTCAGTTTACTCCATTTGAATTGATATGCGGACACGAAGTAAGAGCGTCTTTAAAATTAATTAAGGAAAAGTTGATAGGTCCGATGTCAGAGATCTTACAGTTGGATTATGTATCTGAGGTGAGAGAAAGATTAAACAGAGTAGGTGAATTAGTTAGACAATATCTGAAGGTGGCACAGCACACAATGAAGCAAGAAGCAGATAAGAAATCTAAAATTCGTACATTTGCCCTTGAGGATAAAGTATTGGTGCTGTTACCAGTGGTAGGAGATCCCATCGAAGCAAGGTTTAGTGGTCCCTATCAGATTGAGAAGAAGTTAAGTCAGGTGAGTTATCTGGTAAAGATGTCAAATGGGGAAAAAAATTATCAGGTATGTCATGTGAACATTCTGAAACGTTACTGTGATAGGGAAAGGGAACCAGAGAAACAGGTATTAGTTACTGTCACTTAGACTGACGAATCAAATCCAGATGATTTGGATTTTGATGTACCTCAGAATAAATTGAATAATGAGGAAGTCCTTAAGGAATGGGACAGAGTAGTGAGCTACCTGACCAAGGAACAGAGAAGTGAATTGAAAGACTTGTTACAGTGCTATGTAGAATGGGGCAGACTAATGCCATAGTACGAGGTTGACGTAGGGAATGCTGTTCTGATAAAACAAACCCCTACAGTCTTAGCCCTTTCAAAGCCGCACAGATACAGAAGGAAGTGGAAGTGATATTCAGAAGGAAGTGGAAGTGATGCTCCAAGAAGACATCATCAAGCTGAGTCAAAGCGAGTGGAGTTCGCCGATTGTGTTGGTTCCCAAACCTGATGGTACTGAATGATTCTGTATGGATTATCGGAAGGTTGATGCTGTGACCAAACGTGACTCAAACTCTATTCCAAGGCTGACGAATTGTGTGGAAAAAGTAGGAC